ACTGTATATTCAGTTGTACATCCTATTTTCTTTTTTAAATATATATATATATTTTATATTTTATTGATTTATTTACAGAGAGGAAGGAAGAGGGATAGAGAGTTAGAAACATCGATGAGAGAGAAACATCGATCAGCTGCCTCCTGCACACCCCCTATTGGGGTGTGCCCGCAACCAAGGTACATGCCCTTAACCCGAATTGAACCTGGGACCCTTCAGTCCGCAGGCCGATGCTCTATCACTGAGCCAAACCCGTTTCAGCTTAAAATATATTTTTATTGATTTCAGACAGGGAGAGTGAGGGAGAGGGAGGTAGAAACATCAATGATGAGAGGATTGGGCCCACAACCCGGACATGTGCCCTGACCAGGAATCGAACCGTGACCTCCTGGTTCCTAGGTCAACACTCAATCACTGAGCCATGCCAGCTGGGCCATTCTACTTTCTTATACATTATATTATGAATATATTTTGACAACAATATCTTCCTCTATACCACTTAAAATAACCATTTAGTATTCTCTCATGTGAGTACAATCATTTGAATTAGATTGAACTATATATTTGACCATTTTTTATTTATAAAATGACAGTTTCGAAAGGTGGGGGGAGGGTGGGTGGGTGGTAAGTGATTAAAGAGCTTGTATGCAATATGTATAACCCGTGGACACAGGGATGGTGAAGGCCTGGGGTGGGGGACAGAGGTGGGCTAGACAGGGTCAATGGGGGAAAAAGAAGAGGGACATATGTAATACTTTCAACAATAAAGATTTTTAAAAAATATTTAATTAAAAAAAAAAAAAAGAGCCTCGCCTGTGTGGCTCAGTGGTTGAGCATCAACCCAGGAACCAAGAGGTAATAGGTTTGATTCCCGATGATCACGGGTTGTGGACTCAATCCCTGTTAGGTCTGATTAAGTAATTAAATGTATACCCCCTCACCTGGGAATTGACCTTTATTTTTATTTATTTATTATTTTTTTATTTTTTATTTTCATTGATTTCAGAGAGGAAGGGAGAGGGAGAGAGAGATAGAAACATCAATAATGAGAGGGAATCATCCATTGGCTTCCTCCTGCACACACCCTCCTGGGGATTGAGCCCGCAACCCAGGCATTTCAGGTACATTTCTCTGACTGGAATCGAACCCTGGACCTTCAGTCCGCAGGCCGATGCTCCATCTACTGAGTCAGACCAGCTAGGGCTGGGAATTGACCTTTAGACCATTTTACCACCGACAGTCCCCTTTGCTTAGATCACATTCCACTTGCTAAGACCATTATCCTTCCCCTCTGGACCTGCCCAGAGAATTCTCTGCCTGGAAAAAAGCCCACCTAGACTCTAGGCCAGTGATGGCGAACCTTTTGAGCTCGGCGTGTCAGCATTTTGAAAAACCCTAACTTAACTCTGGTGCTGTGTCACATATAGAAATTTTTTGATCTTTGCAACCGTAGTAAAACAAAGACTTGTATTTTTGATATTTATTTTCTATATTTAAATGCCATTTAACAAAGAAAAATCAACCAAAAAAAAATGAGTTCGCGTGTCACCTCTGCCACGCTGTCATAGGTTCACCATCACTGCTCTAGGTCCTAGAGTCCTTTAAAATCTCTGACTCCCTGTTCCTGGGTGCTGGCACCATTTTGGGGCCCAGCCCATCTGGTTTTCCAGATGACCTAATAAGTTCATTCTTTATTCCTTTTGGCCTCGTGCGTTCCTCCTTGGAGACTCTAACAATCCCCAGTGGGGGGCGTGCAGGAGGCAGCTGGTGGATGATGTTTCTCTTTCTTTTTTAAAAAATATATTTTATTGATTTTTTACAGAGAGGAAGGGAGAGGGATAGAGAGTTAGAAACATCGATGAGAGAGAAACATCGATCAGCTGCCTCCTACACATCTACTGGGGATGTGCCCGCAACCCAGGTACATGCCCTTGACCAGAATCGAACCTGGGACCTTTCAGTCCGCAGGCCGACGCTCTATCCACTGAGCCAAACTGGTTCGGCATGATGTTTCTCTTTCATTGATGTTTCTGTCTCTCTATCGCTCTCCCTTCATCTCTCTAAAAATCAATAAAAATGTATTTTAAAAAATAAATGGCAGTTTCGTATGGCTCAAATATGCCTTTCGTATGCCTTTGTTGTGGGACATTTAATTGATTTATGTCATTTCCAGATTCTCACCAGTATTGTGATAAACAACTCTTAGATAATTGTCTTTTTTTTTCTGTCTTCTTTATTGAAGTATAATTAGTTAATAAATAGCTAATATGCCTTCTGCACAACTTTTATTTTTTTCATTTTCTTACAATTCCCAGAATTAGAATTGCTGGGTCTAAAAATAGGTACATTTCTCGGGTATTTGATATTTTTGCCAAATGCCTTCTAAAAAGATTAAATCAATTTATTCCATTTCTTCATAGTCTACCATCATGGTAGATATTATATTTTAAGAGTCTGGGTTAATTAATAGTGATAGCTAACATTTATTGAGGACTTATCACTTAATCCTTATAACTCTATAAAGTAGACCTTATCATTATCCTTAATTTATAGATAAAGACATCGGCCCAGAGAGTTGAAGAACTTTCCTAAGGGTCACACAGCTAATATGAGACAGGGTTAGCCCTAACCGGTTTGGCTCAGTGGATAGAGAGTCGGCCTGCGGACTCAAGGGTCCCAGGTTGATTCCGGTCAAGGGCATGTATCTTGGCTGCGGGCACATCCCCAGTAGGAGCGTGCAGGAGGCAGCTGATCGATG